CGGGCCGCGGCGGACGCCGAGCGAGCGGGGCTGCGGCGCCGGTGCAGAACAGTTCGCGCCACTCGCGTGCATTCGGTGCTTTATTGGCCGTTTATTCCGTTGGATTATGCGGGGACTGCATGGATACAAATCTACTTCTGAATAAAAATAAACGCCGCCTTCCTGTGCGCGGGGCGGCGTGAGGGGCGAAGGCTGCCCGCGGACGGCGGTCCCCGCCCCGCTTTTGCCTGGGGAGGCGACGGCACCGGCGGGTCCCCCGGCGGCTCTTCGCCTCGCCGGCCGCCGCCTCTGGGAGGCCCTGCGGCGGGAGCGAGGGAAGTGGCGGCCCGGGCTTCCAAGGGGCCGGGGCCCCGCCGGCCGAGGAGGCTCCCCCCGCCTCCGGTCCGCCATCCTGCTGCACCGCAGCGCCCGGGGCCTGGAGCAAGCGGGAGCGCCCGTGCAAGGCTGCCGCTCGCTCGCTCTTCCGCAGAGGCCCGCGGCCCCTCGGGGCAGGCAGCGCCCCTCCCGCCGCCCCGCAGCCCTGGCACGTGGGTGGAAGGAGTGCCCGAGAGCGGGCGCCCTCCCGGCCCTTCTCCGTCCCGCCCCCGGCTTGGCCGCCGACCGGGATCCGCCGGGTGGAAGCGCCCCCACCCCTGCGGCACCGCGCAGTCCTTGGCCGCGCCTCTCGCTGCATCCCGCGATGGGGCCCCCCAGGCTGGCCTCCCCCCCCCCCGTGAACAGCGGCCATCGCCCGGGCGGGGGGGGGCGGCGGGAAGTGGCCACGTAGCAGCAAAGAGATGCGTGTCTGCCAGACGAACCATGCCCTGCACAGCAGGGCCCTAATCCGGGGTGCAGGGGCCCGACGAGGGTCCAGCCAGCCAGCCAGCCTCCGGGGTGGCCGTGCGAGGCTTCCCCCCGGGGGCAGCCGCTTGCCCTCGGAACCCGCCACCTCTCGCGGGGCTGTTGAGCCCTCGGGCCAGGCGGCCGGTGAGGGCAGCGCGGGGGGCCGCCCCCTCTTCCGCGCCCCTCTGCCTCCCTCTGGGACGGCTGCTGCAGGAGCGGGGCGGGGAGCGCGGGGCTGGCGTGAAGTCCCAGCAGCGGCTGCGTCCCCGGGGCTCGGCTCCGCGTCCCTGGCCCCCGGGGGCAGCGGGCCCAGTCTGTCCCAAGGCCCCTCAGCGGCCTCCCCGGTATCAGCTCGTGCAGACGCTGGTGACGGAGGCTCCGGCGATGGGGTCCACCAGGCCCAGTTCTTCCTGCTCGTTGGTGCAGAGCTGGTAGCCGCAGCCCTTCCTGCGGGGCAGCGGGCCGGCGAGGCCGGCGGCCCCGGGCTTGGCGCACGGGGGCAGCAGGAAGCCCACGCTGCCGGCGATGAGCATGTGCCAGATGCTGTGGATGTAGAAGTAGTTCTCCTCCGTCTCGACGAAGGCGTAGAGCAGCACCGCGGCGGCCGCGATCAGCGCTCCGGGCAGCAGGCGGAAGGTCCAGCGCTGCCACGTGGGGGGGTAGCAGTGCCGCCGGCGGATGCTGCGGGCCGTCTGCGGGCAAGAGGCGCAGGTCAGGACTGGCCGGCGGAGGCTGGGGCAGCCACGCCAGCTCTGCAAGGCCCAGACGCCCGGCACCCGGCCACCCACCTGTGCGCCCCAGCCACATCTCCTTCGGGGGCTGGGGCCCCTTGTGTGGAGTCCCCCACCACAGCAGGCTGCCCGCAGGCCCGGGCACTGGGCACTTTTAGTGGGAGGCGAGTCCCAGTGGGAAGGTTCGCATCTTGCATGTCGCAAGAGGCCGTGGGGGGGGGGCTGCGGAGAGGAGCAACGCACCTGTCTTCCCTCGGCTGGCTCCCCGATCTTCTGCCCCTGGCCCGGTCCCTGGGCTCCCATCTTGCCTTCCAGCGGCCCCTATGAGCAACGCCCCCCCACTTCCTCTGTGGCACCCCCTACACCAGTTGCCTTCCCTGACTGGTGCACTGAGGTTCAGGGATGGGCTTTTTCTGACTGCCCCTCCATCGTTTTGAGACTTTCCCAAAATCCCCACTTCTCACTTCCTGCATTTCTCCGCTTCCTCCCTGTGTCAGGAAGGAAGGGGAGACTTGGCCAGCAGGGACAACGCGTGCGATGGGGTGCGCTGCCGGGGGTCGCCCTGCGGTCACTGCCCCTCTGCAAGACGCCGGGGCGCTTTCCCCCTGAGCTCCCGGGCGCCCGTCGTGGGCGCAGAAGGCCCAGCCCGGCTGCTGCTGCTCGCCGAGGCGTCTGGGCTGCCGCAGGCTGTGGGGAAGGGCCGTGACCGGGTCTGGACGGCACGGCGAGCCCAAAAGGGTCAGCCTCCATACTGGCTTGCCGGGCTGTGCGACCCCCCTGCGGTGCTGAGAGGGTTGGGGCCTTTCGGGACGAGGGAGACGAGGCAGGAGCCCTGCCCTCGCAGGAGGCCGGGCCCCCCCGGCCGTGGCCTTTGGCCGGCGGTCAGCGAGACCGGTGGGAGTGCCCAGGCAAGCGCACACGCTGCACGCCGTGCCCCAGCCGGAGCAAAGCAGCCCGGTCGGAGCCCGGCCGCCCTGCACGTGCCTCACCCAGCCGTCCCCGCGGACCCCCAGCGAGGGGGCCCACGTGGAGGCAGCGGGCCAGCAGGGCTGGGAGGAGCATCAAGGGGCCGGAGGAAAGGGAAGGGGCTTGCTGGGGGTCCCAGCGCTTCCCTGCAGGGGGGCAGGGGAGGGGAAGGGCGCGCAGGCAGCCACGTCCTTACCCAGGCGATGGCCATGATCCCCAAGGCGAAGAGGCTGGGCCCCAGCAGGTTCCAGAGGCCATGGCGGTCCAGCTGCAGGGCCATGGAGAGCAGCATGGCCCCCAGCAGGTACAGCACCTGTCCGGGGAGGGCAGCGTGTGAGTCCCCAGAGCGCAGCTCCCCGCCAGTCCCGGACCTGCCATCCCTCCGCGGAGGGATCAGGTGGAGGAGGTGCTCGGGCCTCTGCTGAGCTCCAGCCGGCAGAAGTGAGGGCTGCCGTCCTCGGCTCAGCCTGCCCTGCCGGGTGCTGACCGGGCGCTTTCCAGGGAACCCCAACCATCGCACCTTGGGCTTGCTTTATGGCCACTGGGCTACCCACCCGTGCGGCACCTGAGGCGCCTCTGCCACGCTGCTGCGCTGGGCTGCGGATTGGGGCTGCGGTCTCAGGTGGAATGCGCAGTCTGAGCTTGCCTAGGAGGCATTCAGGGCCCCGAAGGGGGAGCGAGATAAGCCGGTCCTCACCTGTGTCTGGGGACCCTGCCAGCCCCCACCCCTCCCCTCCCGCCCCTCCCCTACCTGTTTGATAACTGGCTGGAGCCGGGCCATGGCGATGACGGTGACCCAAACGGACATGAGGGAGCCCAAGAAGTCGCAGAATTGCAGGACGTCATAGTCCATGATGCAGAAGACCACGATGCCGGGCTGGTCGCAGGCATGGTAGAACTGGCCGGGGGGCAGAGAGTGCTCAGCCGGGGCAGAGGTCCTGCCCCCGCCCACAGCCTGCCCGGGCTGGGAAGGGCCGCTTCGGGCCGCAGGGGGCCGTGATGCCTGGCTGCCTCCGCCGCAGGAGGCTGCTTGCATGGGGGCTCGGACAGGCTCCTCCGTCTGTGTGGGTCCAGCCCATCAGCCTCTCTGCCTGCGGCCGCTGCTGAACCCCACCCTGTGGGGGCTCGGAGGCGGTGGCCGAGTGGGGCCCCGGTGGGAGGCGGCGACTGTGTGGGTGGAGGTGCCCGGCCAGCACAAGGCTGGGGCTTGTGTTGCTGTGGCCGCCAGGTTGCCTGTCAGCCAGCCGGCCCCTTGCCCCCCAGAAGGGCTCCTCCTTGCAGGGCCTTGGAGGCGGGGGCTGGGAGGCGATGCTGCAGCTGTTCTGGCCAGGACCTCTGCCAGGAGCAGCCGCCGAAAGGAAGGGGCCTTCTGCCGCCACCAGCGTGGGCTTTGCCTGCCTAAGCTGTGGAGGCGGTGGCGTTCCGTGGGGCGCTCACAGGCCCCCCGGGCCCAGCTGTGGCTGTGCAGTGGGGAAGGCCGGTTCCGGGCTCAGAACAGGTCCAGAGGCAGGTGCTGGGTGCCGGGAGGGCCAACAGCACCCCCCCCCCCGCAGGGCCTGCCCCTGAGGCGGGTGCCACCCGGCTCTCTGTCTGCGGCTGGAGCTTCCTGGTTTCCGTGATCCCAGTGTTCCCATGCGCGTTCACCTATCTTAAACTGCGGGGGGGGGGGGGCACTTGGAATGTGTCGGCAACTGCACAGCGCTGCGGGGAAGTGCCTGTCGCTGCCGCTGAGGCGAGGGGAAGCGGGCTGCCGGGCCTCCGCGAAACCGGCTCTTCGGCGTGGGAAAGGCCTGCCAGGGCAGGGGCGCGAGAGGCGGCCGTCGGCAAGGCGCAGGCGGCGCCCTCCGCCCCAGCTCGCCCGGCAGCGGCCTCGGTCGGCCCGGGCGTCCCCCTGCGGCGCCCGATTCCCCAGCAGGGGGCGCCTGCGGGCGGGCGGGCGACCGGCAGGCGCCGCTGCGGGGCAGCCCTCGCCCCCCGCGTAGCCTGGCGGAGCGCGGCTCTGTTCCAGCCGGGCCCGGAGGGCGCGCCGGGAAGCCCCGAGGGGCCGCTCTCGCCCCAGCGCGCCGCACGGGGCCCCCGGACGCTCCCAGCGGCGGGGGGGGGGGCAGCCACTCACGGTGGAGAAGAACATGGTGAAGAGGTACACGGCGCCCTCGAGCAGGCAGCGGCTCCGCACGGCGATGACCACGGGCGGGACGAACATGAGGTTGCTGAGGCAGAGCAGGAGCGTGGAGAGCAGCTGGAAGCCGTAGGAGAAGGCGGCGCCGGCGTCCGTGCAGCCCCAGCCGCGCCAGCCTGCGGGATGCGCGGCGTCAGGGCTGCCCCCGCCCGGCACCGCCGCGCACCCCCGACGCCGGCCGCCCCGCGCCCCGCGAGCGCCGCGAAGGGCTGCCTCTGGGCGGGGGTGGGCTCGGGGCCAGCCTGCACGCGGGCAGGCGTAAGGAGAGTGCCTCTGAGCACGCGCAGAGGTCCCGCCCTCGCCCCGCAGGCGGCCCGCTCCCCCGCCCTCGGATTCGTGGGCGTGCGCTGCTGGCGCCCGCACCCGCCCTGGAAGGGGCCCTCCCTCGCCACTGGGGGGCTGCTGAGCCCCCCTTCAGCTTGCCCCTCGCCCCCCCCGCCCGGGCTCACCGGCTTTGCACTCGCAGGCCGCGTACAGGTAGTTGTTGGTGCGCAGCAGCTTGCACTGCCCGTAGGGGCCGCAGTCGTCCACGCAGGGCGAGAGGTAGGCGCGCAGGTACACCTCGGCCGTCACGTTCCCGCAGGGCTGCAGCCTGCGCAAAAGAGGCTGCAGGTGGGCCGGGGCAGCGAGGCCGCCCAAGGCGTCCTGCGGCGGTACAGGACCCCCCCCCCCCCCCCCCGCGGAGCGCTTGCAGAAGCCCCGTCTGGGCCCCAGAGGTCCCGCAGCTCCTGACCCCGGATCAGCCAGCCGTGGGCCCACGCCTGCCTCAGCGCCTGCCGCCCACGCAAATCTTCCTGCCTGAGCCGTTTTCCTGGGATCGCCCGTCCTGGGGTCCCTCGTCCACAGAAATCCGCAGGAGGCCCAGCTGCCAATTAGCATATGCAAATGCCTGCTCTGTGCTGAGCTGCTCACCTTTTCTGTTCCCAGCACCCTCCGCGAAGCGGTGCGCACGCAGGGCTCGCCCTCCCCCGAATGGGCCACTTTCCGTCTCCGAGCCCAGTGGAAGGGTTCGTCGGGACGGCAAGAACGCCGCCCTTTGCTGGGCATGGCGGCAAAGGCCGAGGGGACGCGGCCCGGCCACTTCCTCTGCTGGCCAGGCGAGGCATCAGCCCGCGGGCCAGTGGAGGGCCGGGCAGGGTGCGGTCCGAGGGGGGAGCCGTCCTCCGCCTCTCCCAGGCCCCTCGCGCCAGGGCGCTGCGTGTGCCTTCTTGCAGGTGCCAGCCCCGGCCCGGCCTGGCCGTCGCAGGGCACAGGCTGGTTCCCCTGCCCAGGCGCCACTGGACCGGGCACAGCGCAAGCCCGGCGGCTTCCCCGGTTGCAGGCAGGCCCCCCATTCCAGGAGCTGGGGGTGGGGCGGTTGTGGCTGGGTTCCAGGGAGGGCTTCCTCACTGCCCGCTCAGCTCGCCTCCTCAGTCTCTACAACCATAGGAAGCAGCATAAATTGGGCAAAATACAGGGGGAAGGCGATGCGTGCCACGCCGCCCGCCGGCCGGTCTTACCCGTGGTCCGTCAGACAGAGCGAGCGCAGACTCAGGTACCAGCTCCCCGTCTGCGGGTAGGGGATGCGCAGGCGGGTGAGGGGGGCTGCGGCACTGATGGACAGAAGGAAGCCCGCCAGCAGCTCTGCCAACGGAAAGCGGGAGGTGAGCCCGGGGCCGCGGGCACCGCTCCCGCCGCGCTCAGAGCTCCATCGCCCCTCCGGCGGCACGCCCCACCCACGCCAGTGCCTCGCCGGGTGCGGGTAGCCCGGCCCTTACCTGTCTCACAGGTGATGGACGCGTTCTCTTCGGATGCCAGCGGGACCTCATGGTTCAAGCAGGCAAACACCGTGGCATTTTCTGCCCGCAGGGAGGACTGGGAAGCAGGTGCCTGTCGCGTTACGCTGTCCGGGGGACGCTTCCTGCCCTCAGGCACGGGCGGGAGGGATCCCCGCCCAGCTCCTCCTTCCTCCAGCCAGCGCCCCTCGCCCCCTCACTGCCGCGCCCCACCTGCGCCCCCCCGCCGTGCCACGTGGGCTCTTGCCCTCCTCTGCTGGGGGCTCAGCCATGGCCCCCGCCCCAGACTCACCACATTCAGCTTGAGCTCCAGGTTCAGGGTGCCGCCGCTGTCCAGCACAGGCAGCAGGTGGATGGCGAAGACGGCCGGGCGGTCCGGCGGCACCGAGACGTTGGGCCCGAAGAAGATGTAGAAGTGCACGGAGAAGGTGTCCAGCTCGTTGCGCAGCGTGGGCCGGATGGGCCAGCAGCGCCCGCCTGCCGGGGCCAGGGGGGTGGGGGCTGGCGGCTGCGTGCCGCTCGGGGGGGAGGGGGAGGGGGAGGGGGAGGGGACGTCTGCCGGGGCGGGCCCCCCAGGGGAGCCGAAGGAGTGGGGCATGTTCAGGCTGGAGCCGGGCAGCAGCAGGAGGGGCCGGGCGAGGCCCGTGCGGGAGCAGTCTGCGGGAGACGGGGACAGTCAGGCCGGGCATCGCCCCTCGGAGCCCCCGCGTCCCGGAAAGGGCCTCCCGGTTTATCCAGGCATCCGCCGCCCCTTCTCCTCGTGCGGCCCCACTGCAGGGCGGAGAGCGTGCCCGTGGGGGCAGGGGGTGGGCAGGGCTGGCTCTGGGGTCCTGCCTTGGCCGATCAGCAGCAGGACCCTCTGGAGCCAGGCCTTTCCTCCCATGAGGCCGAGCCCCTGCCCAGGAAGGCCGCCGGGCTCCTTGCTCGGCCCCCACCAGAGCCCCCCTGCCTCCTGCGGGCAGTGCCAGTGCTCCTCCCCTCCGGGAAGCGGCAGAGGCCTTGCCTGGCCATCCGCGCACAGCACCCTCCGCCCGTACCGTGTCTGGGCCAGGAGACGGCCCAGGGGGAGCACCGGTGGCCGGGGGGCCGCTTCCGCCTCCTTCCGTGACTTGGCTACGGGGCCCGGTGTGGCTCAGTGGCCCCTGGGCCTGGGTCTGCCTCCCCACTGCCTCCTGCCAAGATCCCTTTGACGGGGTGGGCCTGCCGTGGGGCCTGATGCTGCCGTGGCAGCGGCCTCGGCCTCTGTGCCGCACCCCTTCCCGCTCTCCCCCTTGGCTCCCCCGCCCACGGCTGCGGAGGCCCGGACCCCCCCCCCGCCCCTTCCCCACTCACCCTTCAGCTGCACCAGCAGCTGGAAGCTGACGCTGCCGGCCACGGCCGGGCCCTTCTCCACCAGCACGTAGTACCAGTTCTGCCAGAAGGGCAGCTCCAGGGCCAGGTGGCAGGGGTCCAGCGCGCGGCAGTCGGCCGCCGAGGAGTTGTGCAGCGGGGGCGCCTTGCCCCGCACCTTCAGCCACAGCGGGCAGCCCTCGCCGCTCTGGTTGGCCCCCCGGCAGTTCCGCAGCTGCACCAGCACCCGGGCGGTGTAGCTGGGGATGAAGACCCTGGGGGGCGGGGGACACTGCATGGCCCTGTGCCGGGAGGGGCTCCTGGCCACCCCTCGGCTCGCCCTGCCCAGTGGCGCTCAGCGCGACAGGGGCCCTGCCCCGGCAGGCTGCCTCCGCGTCGGGCAGGCGAGCCCCAGCTGAGAGGGCCCGGCCCACCCGGCCGCCTTGCGGAGAGAGGCCCGCCTCCCCCGCCCCCCGTGCGCCCCGTCCCGTGCTGGGGCGTCCCGCAGCTCACGGGACGGGGCCCTGCAGCCTCCCACCCCTCCCTCGCAGGCCCCCGGGACCCCTCCCCACGGCCGGACTCACTTGTAGAGCAGGGAGCGGTTGTGTGGGGCGAGGACGTGCTCCGTCACGTAGCCGGGGTACAGCACCCCGATGCCGACCAGGCGCTGCACGATGAGCTGCGGCTGGAAGAGGTACTGGCAGTCCTCGGCGAGCCCCTGCGGCCAGAGGGGGGGCTGAAGCGCCGTGCCTGGGCTGCCCCGTGGGACCCCCTCCTCGCTCGCCCCCCCCCAGGGCGGCTCCGCGGGGCGCCCGGTCCCCCCGCCCCGCCGGCAGAGGGCTGGATGTGCAGCCACCCTCCAGCCCAAGGCTGTCCTGGGCTGCAGCCCTTCTCCTCCCCGCTTGCCCGTGGGGCAGGCAGCGGAGGGAAGCAGCCCTGGACTTCCAGCTGGACCAGGGGCTCCGGGGGCCTTCCCCGCTCCACGGCCCCCATCTGTGAGATTTGGGTGGGGTGGGGCTGGAGCTGGGGGTGGCTCGGTTCCTGTCCTGGCACCGCGGCCGGGCGTCTCCTCCAAGCAGCATGGTGTCTGCTTGCCTGGGTGGGGGTGCCGTCGCTCACACACCATCGGCAGGGCTTGGGGCCCTGTGCTGCTCTCCCTGGAGGGCCGGCCCGGGTGGGTGGGCTCTGTGGGCTGCAGGGGCAGTCAAGCCGGCCACACCTGCAACCGCCGGCCGGGCCAAGACGGTGTCCCAGAGCTCCGCAGTCGGAGAAGAGCGTGGTGGCGGGCCCCGCGGTCTGCCCAGGCCAGCCCGATCCTCAGCACCCCTCCCCAGGGGCCACCCCGCACGGCTTCTGCCTGCCTGGAATGGGCACCGGCCTCAGCCGCCCGGCCTCAGCCGCCCGGCCTCACCTTGACAGAGATCTTGCCCTGTTCCCGGGGCAGGTGGGCGGCCAGGAACCAGTCTCCAGGCAGCGGGCGGCTGATGTTGAAGACCCCGGTGGTCCTGTTCGGCAGCGTCCAGGTGAGGGTGAGAGAAAAGGAGCCAGGCACAGCCGTGTCCCTTGGGAAGTGGGTGTGCAGCGGGTTGATGACGGGGGGCGCCCCAGAACGGAAATACCTGCCCAGGAGAGGGGCACAGGTGAGCGACAGAGAGTGGCTCAGATCCACACGTGCATGTGGGCGAGGGCCGGTCCCTTATGCTTGGCCATCTGGCCCCTCTCCTCCTCCTCCTCCTCCTCCTCCTCCCAGGCCTGGCAGAGCGAGATCTCCAGCCTTGCACCTCCCTGCTTCCGTGGGGCAACGCCATGCAGCAGGGGCCTCGGTGCCCTGGGGCTGCAGCCTCGGTGGGGTCCTCCCCATCCGCCCTTGAGAGGAGCTTTCCCACGTAGGGTTCGGAGCGTGGCCACGATGCCGCCGTGCATGGGCAGTGGTGCCAGAGAAGTGGGAAGACCACCCCCCCCCGAGGCTGCTTCATCCCAGTGGGGCTCAGCAGCCGAGGCAGCAGCAGGGGCCCCTCGCAGGTCACTCTCCCGGAGGAGCCTCCAGAGCCCCTGAGCCCCACGCCAGCCTGTCCTGGAGGAGGAGAGCCTCCCGCTCCGCAGGGACAAAAGCGAGTGGGGCACAGAGCAGCAGCACCCTCCGGAGGCCCCCCAAGGGGAAAAGGGGGTGTTCGCAGCAGGAGTGAGAGGGGCCTGCTGGTGGGCCCCCCTCAGCTGCAGTTGCCTGGGGAAGGGAGGGCCGGCCAGGGCCAGGGCCAGGGCCAGGGCCAGTCCAGCCGCTCCAGACCCAGACCATGGGAGGCATCCCCCGCCCCCAGAGGAGCCGGGTGCTTGTGGCAGCAGCTCCTGCCCAGCCGGGCCGGCTTCTCCCTGACCCCGCAGGCCGGGCGCTCGCGACGCTGCAGTCACACGGGCGAAAGCCAGAGAGCGGTCGGTGGCCGCCCCCTCCCTGGCCCGGAAGCGGCTGGGGGCAGGTGGGGCAGGGCCGTGGCTCCGGAGGAGCGCCAGCGAGGCCGGGGGGCATGGCCCGCGCGACTCACACGGTGACGCTCCGGTCGGGGCAGTGGTCCCCGAAGGTGCCGCCCTGCTCTTTGAAGGTGATGAGGTTCCAGACCGCCATGACCGTGTCCTCGGGGACGCGGAAGTGGAAGAGCTCGATGCTGGTGACGGAGCGGAAGGGGTTCAGCTTGCGGGGGGTCCGCGTGAAGTAGTCGGTGGCGAACAGCCCGGCTGGGGGGAGGAGAGCGCCTGGTCAGCGGTGAGTGGCGCTGGTCTTGGCCGGTGTGTGCAGCTGCCCCCCCCCCCGATGACCTTTGCCAGGAGAGGGACAGGGAAGGTGGCCCGGGGGCTCTCCCGGCCCCCTCAGAGGCTTCCCCCACCTCGCTGCCTGAGAGCGTGACTGGCCCCTGCACACGCCCGGACCAAATCCCGCTTCTGCGACAACCGTTTTGGCACCCGGCGTGGGGCGCCTCATCTCGGTTGCCTCGGGCGGCAGTGCTGCGGTGACCCACAAGGGGCTGCTGGGCAGCCCGAGACCTGCTTGCCCCAGGGGGAAAGCCTTTGGCTGGTGGGGTCACCGGCTGCGACGCCATCTTGGACGCGAGGCTGGGGCTGGGGGGCGGGCCATCGACTTGGTGAGACTCTCCCCCCATTGGAGTTTCTGCTTAGTTCAGCCCCACGCTGAGCCCGGAACCGGCCTTGCCACTGCACAGCCACCAGGTGCCAGACGTGGGTTGCGCCCGGGGCAGGGATGGGCTCCGGATCCAGCAAAGCAGGGGGAACACTCACTTTTGTGGCTTGGGAGGAGGAGGGGGTCCATGACCGGGGGAATTGGTTCCTTCTGTGGCAGCCAGTGGCCCAGTGAGGAGCTGGGGGGCGGGGGGCTGAGGAGGGGAGTGTTAAGCACAGCGCCATGTTGCCGTTGTCCTCTGTAAATGGACGGGAATGGTTGGGACTCAAGGACGATGGGTTGTGTGTGCCTTTGCCTCAGAAGCCGGGATGGTGCAGGGCTTGTGGGCTGCCTCGGTGTTGGCTGGGGGAGAGCGACGGGCCCCCCGAGCATGAGCCCTGTGTGCAGCCTTCGCGCAACCCCCCCACCAGAGGCTCCGGCTCAGCAGGCTGCAGATTCGGTTTCGGAGGGGGACGTGAGCCCCTCAGCCCCACCTGTTTGAGCTGCCGCCAACTTCCATCCTATGGGGAGGCATCAGGGAGGGGGAGTCATCTGCTGCCACCCATCACCAGCACACCTGCAAGGACGAATTCTGGACCCCCCCCACCCCCTGGACAGGAGAACAAGTGCACAGGCACACCCCTGAACTCCATGCTCGGCTGTGAGTTGCCTCTGGCAGCTTTGGGCATTGTGTGCGCCGTTTCCAGCTCTGGTGTGTAGAATTGGAAGAACCGTGCCCCAAAACGGCGAGAGGACCCGTGGGGGGTGGAGGTTTTCAGTCTCTCTTTTTGATGCCCAACTTGCGTGGGCAGAGGGCCGGCCGGAGTAGGCCGAATGAATGCTTCCCTCGCCCCAGAGGAGAGCGGATCGGTGCGGAGCACGGCCTGGAACTGGTGGAAACACCCCTAGAGCAGACTCTACCGATGGGAGCACCCGGGGGGGGGGGGGCTGTTCCAACAACTGGGGGTCCCCTTTGGGACAGAGACGGGCAGGGGCAGGAACAGTCTGAGAGATGGGGTGCCACAAGTTGGGGATTTTTCGAAGCTGCGCGAGGTGCATCGCGCCTCCTCTGAGCCTCCCTCTGGAGCCATGAATCACTCAAAGCTCGGCACAGAGGCTGCCTGAGCCCGTGGAAATGGCCAGTTGCTGCCTGCATTGCCCATTGCGCAGGAAACTGCAGGGGCCCTGGGGGCGCAGGCCAGAACTGGCAGCAGCTGCACAAAGAGTGGATGTTAGCGGGGAGCGGGAGGGGGTGGCCTCGGGCGTTTGGCTCAGCCCTGCGGGGGCTCCTGGAGACCAGGGGGCTGTTTCTCAGAGTGGCTGGATGTGGTGGCCTGGCATGGCCAGCCTGCCCAGGGATTGTGGCCGCAACCAGTTTACTGGTCAAGGGGCCCTCGAGCGGAGACTGGACACGCTCCTGGTGGCGTTGGCCCCTCGGGCAGCGCAATTGCCGCCGGAGCAAAGGGGGCCCACGGATGACTCGGGGCCGGCCGGCCCAGCATCGGGCCTGGTCGGTGGGACAGCGGAGCGACCCCTCGCCCCCGCGGCCTCCGGCGTCCCGCCAGTCCCCAGCCGGAGTTGAACACACATGCTGGGGCAAACCGAGCCAACCCGACAGGGCGGGCTGTGCATCCGGCAACCCCGACGGGAGCGATTGCGGGCGGTGAAGGGAAGAGGAACTGGTTGTGTGGTTGGCGCTGCTCTGCTGCGGAAGCCGACCCACACGCACACGGGGGCTGCGGCTCCATCCCGACGGTTCCCCACTGACCGTCACGCAGCTGACACAGCCCCTGCCCTGGACGTGGGCATCCACCCTTTCAAACCAGGGTACTGGGTTTGTCTGGGGAAGTGGGGGGGCGACCCACTCCACCTCTCTGGGAAGGGCCGCTCCAAGCATGGCGGGCCACGCACATTGCAGGAGCGGAGTCTGGGAGGCACCACAGCGGGGCGAAGATGGCGCGAGCGGCGGGGGGGCTGGGTGGGAGGGCAGCGAGAGACGGCCTGGCCGACCGATCCCCCCAGAGGAGGACACGGATCTGTGAGCCAGAGGACTGATTCCTGAGGAAGCTGCTGGTGCCACTGAAGGGCCAGCTGGAGGTCTGAGGGTGCCCTGAGGGATGGCATTGCAGAAGAGGTGTGATTCGCACTTCAAGGGGGCGCATGCACTCCGGGGGCAAGGGTGCTGGATGTCCCCCATGACTGCCCTCCCAGCAGAGACCGCGGCACCAAAGACTAGACAGTAGTCTGCGTCCCACCACACAGCCACCGGAATCTTTAGGGCTGGGTAACCTCTTGGCTGGCTCAACGGCCTTTTTATAACTGGCATTCGTTGGCTTGCTGTTCTCTGTGACCTGCTGCTGGGTGCAAGTGGACGCCCTAGAAGACAGGATGAAGATGCAAGGGGATCTGGCTGGGCTGGGCTGGGCTGGGCTGGGCTGGGCTGGGCTGGGCTGGAAGCAGCGAAATGGAATCCAACAGGGACAAATACCAAGTCCTCCGCCTAGGAAAACATTCCCAAATGCATCGATACAAGATGGGGAATACGTGGCTCAACAGAACTGAACAAGAGAAAGACCTTGGCGTTCTTGTGGACAACAGACGGAATATGAGCCAAGAATGCAATGCAGCTGCCAAAAGGGCAAATGCTATTTTGGATGCATTAATGGAAGTATTATTTCCAAATCACAAGAAGTAGTGGTTCCTCTATACTCCTCACTAGTCAGACCTTGTCTGGAATATGGTGTCCAGTTCTGGGCACCAAGACTGAAGAAAGATGCAGGTAAATTCGAAAGGGTCAAGGGAGGGCAACCAAAATGATCAAGGGTTTGGAAAAGCTACACTGTGAGGAGAGACAGAGAACTGGGCATGTTCAGCCTCCAGAAGAGAAGACTGAGGGGGGACACGGTGTCCCTCTGTAAGTCCCTCAAAGGCTGTCACAAAGGGAGGTCAAGATCTCCTCTCACTGATAACGGAGTGCAGGACACAGAATAGGGTTGGGGTTGGTGGGCGCTTGTCCGATTCCCGGAATGGGCTTCAAAGGGCGCTACATCTGGCAGGGGAAGCCAAGGGGATGGAGCACCTGCTGCTGGCAGACGATCCCTTGAAACTGTTTCCCTTCGGGGGCTCAGTGGGTGCCGATCCCCCACACACCCCGTGGCCCAGCCACGTTGCCCTTTGGGGGGAAGAACCAGCCCTGCAAGGCAGTCCCTGTGGGGCAGTGCTGCCCACAGCACCAGAGGCAGGTGCCTGTGCTCACCAGGTGCTGGGGCACATGGGTGGGGGGTGCTACATTCCTGTCCTGCCTTGGGGTTCCCCTCCATCAGCTGGCTCGACGCAGCACCCGGCCTGCTCCGGGTGCTGCCTCTCTGATCGGCTCCCCTCCTCCCTGCACGAAGCTCCTCTGTGCACAACCTCGGCCAGTCCGTTCTTGACAACAGACGCTCAGACAAATCTGGGCAGTTCCCTTGGATGTGGAGGGGAAAGGAGAGAAACTCGGGTGTCCTCAGCATGTTGCCAACATTGAGCTTTCCCAGGGGGTGGGTTATTCTGGCAGAAAAGGCTCTGGGTTGGCTTTGTGTGCGTGATTACAAGCTCAGTTCTGGCACCAGATGAACCCCTCGGCGAACCTGTGTGCACGGGGACCCCCCATTCTGAGTGAACAGCCTTCTGCCCCTCACCCCACCCGCTCGGGCACGTGGTGGCCCTCCGCTAGGGGGAAGAGCAATGTCCTTCTAGCAAATCCACACACGGAAGGCCAGAGGCCCAGCTCCACCCCCAGGGGAGCCCAAGGGGGTGAGGCCCTGGCCTGGCGAGGCCCCCTGGCTGGAGGTCCCGTCCCTCTCCCTAGGCCAGTGGCCAGAGAGCCCCTCGGAGTGCCCCTCCGTTCTGCGCTCGGAGGCTGAATCAGGAAGCTGGCAATCGCAGCAGAGCCCCTCAGGGGAACTGGAGATCCACCCATGTGGCAAGGCTGACTGTGCCTCTGCCAGGGGAGTCTGGTGCTGGGCCTGGAGAGCGGAGGCAGTGCCCGTCTGCAGAAGCCTGGGGCCCACGAGGGCCCTCGGCTTGGCTCGGCTCGGCTCAGAGCTCTCGTTCAACCCGGGGAGCTCAGCGGCCCTGCTGAATGTTCGGAGCTCTGCTCTGTTCTCCTTGGGCCTGAGCGGCCTCTGCCGGGATGCTGCAATTGCTCAGCCCTGCTTTCAGCTGGTGCACTGATTCTGATGAGGACAAAGCGGGGAGATGCCTTGATTTGGGGGCACCCCTGAAGGCCAGCACACTCCCCTTGTGGGGAACTCCAGCAGGAGCCTGCCAGGAAACGGAGGCCTGGGGCCCGGCAGGATGGGGACTTTGCTGCAGAGACGCCTCTCCGCCTGGACTGAACCTTCCGCTCGGCGGCACCCTTTGCAACACGTGCCTGGAAGGGATGAGTGTGAGCACGAGGCGCCACCTGCCACCTGCACGGCGCAGTGGGCGCGTGGGGGGCCCCTCCCGGGGCAGGCCGAGCGTCGCGCGGGGCCTGTGACTCAGGCCAGGCTGTCACCCTGCTGCAGGGCACTGCTCCGTGAGCTCGAGGGAGCACCTGGGGTAATCCTCCAGCCATCCCCGGCCGTGGAAATGATCTCATGATTCTCGTGGAACGCCATAAAGCACTCCCCACATGGATGTGCTCGACGCAGGGGGCAGCGCTGCTAGTCCCGCCCTGCGGGACTGTGCTGCTCTGGGTGGGCAGGACAGGGACCCTCCCTGGAGAAGGGCCTGGGGGCTCCGGGAACAGGACCTCCCTGGAATTTCACTGGTGCCCGCGGTGGAGGGGCGAATGGCGCAGCTGCAGGGGAAGGCAGCCAGCGGGACAGCCCTGCTCAGCCCTGGGGGAGGGACCGGCCCCGGGAGGCGCCGAGGGGCGCCCTGCGGGGTTATTCAGCCGGCCACACAGCGGCTCCTCGGCCCTTCCGGGGAATGAAGTTAAGCAGGGAGCACAGCGGGGGGCGGGGGGCACAGGGTGGGACGGGCTGCCGGGGAGGGCGGCGTGGGCTCTGTGGTCCGGCCTCTTTGGGCGCCGGCCTTTCCTGGGCCTCCGTGGCTGAGCTCCTGCAACGAAAGGGGCCGTGTGTCTCCGCCCCCGCTCGGCCGGGCTCCCTCTTCCCCCGGGCGGCCTCCCGTGGCGCCGAGACCGCAGCGTGAGCTCGCGGAGCGGCCCGCTTGAGCTCGGCTCACTTCGCCGAACGCCGCCCGCGCAGCGCCCGAGTCCCGAGGTTCCGGCTGCGAGCTGCGGTGGCTGCTTTGCGCAGACGAGGCCGAGCGCCCAGCCAGTGCCCAGAAGCGGCCCGGGCTCGGGGGCAATCGGGCCGCTTCCTGCCCGGCGCCCGTGGCGGGGGCGGCTGCGGCGGCCCCTCCAGCTGCTGCTGCTGCTGCTGCTCCTCCCCGCGCCGCAGCCGGCAATCCCACGGCCTCCAGGCGCCGTTCAGCACCAGGGCGCCGGACAGCTCCCGGAGCGCCGCTCCCGGCCTCCCCCAGCGCCCCGCTGGCCCTCGGTGACCGGGCAGGGGACGGCGATGCCCCCGGTCGCCGCGGCCCCCCAGCCCGGCGGAGCAGCGCGCAGCCCGGCCCTCGCGCGGAAGGGCCCTTCAGCACCACGCCGCGGGCGGACAGCTCCTGCTGCCCGCGCCCGGCCGGCTCCTGGCGCGGCGCCTCGGCGGGGTCTGTCCGTCCCCGCGGACTCCCGCGCGGCGGCTGCCCGTCCCCCGCCCGGGACCCCCAGCCCCGCCGCTCACCCACCTGCCGGCCGTCCCAGGCTGAGCCAGGAGAGCAGCGGGAGCAGCAGCGGGAGCCGCCCGAGAGCCGCGCGGCCCATGCTGCGACCCGGTCGCCTCGAGCCCCTCTTGCCGGGGCTGCCGCGCTTCGGCTCCGGCTCCGGCTCCGGCTCCGGTGGCAGCAGCGGCGGCGGCGGCGGCGGCGGCGGCGGCAGCTGCCATGACGTCAGGCCCAGCTGCCGCCCAGCTCCCCCGCGCCTTCCCCATTGGCCAGGCGCACCGGGCTGCCTGGCGATGCCGCAGGCCATTGGCCGACCGAGCTGTCGCTCTGCCGCTGCCGCCGTCGTCGCCGCCTACCGAGGAGACCCCGACCGACCTGCGGGACGCGGGACGGAGGGGGAGAAAGGCGCCTGGGGGCGCTACTGGGCCGGGGAGGCCAGAGCCCTCCCACTTCCCCGGATCGACGCGAGGACGGGGCTGGCGGCTGTTCCCGGCCCGCTCTCCTGCTGCCCAGGCGGCGCGGCGCGGCGCGGGACTCCTCTCAGGTAGAAGAGCGCCCCGTGGGGGGGGGGGAGGCGCAGTTTGGGGGCTCGGGCTGCCCGGGGGTCCCAGTGGGGACATTCGATGAGCTTCTGGACGACGCTGCGAGACCCTCTCCTCGAGGCCTCGCCTGCCGCTCATCCCCCATCCACTCCGCTTCTGCTCTGCTCACGGTCCAACGACGCGCAACTTGTCCTCCAACATCTTTGGGAGACGCGGGTTGCCCAAGAGCTGCGACCACCGAGTGACTCTCGGCTCCTTTGCCGCCCCCGGAGCCGGCCACCTGGGACTGGACGGCTGGGTGGACGTGAGCAAGGAGGACGCCAGAGCTGCCCTCCCCATCCGTGGACGTGCCCCAGTGGCGGCTGGAGACACCCGACCCCCAGCTGCGATTGGCGGCACTGGGGCTTGCGGGCGCCTCCTCCATGCCGGATGCTTCCAATACGCCGGCTGAACTTCTGCGACAGGTTGAAAGCACGCTTGGATTGTGTGTTGGAAGTTGCATCGCACGGAGAGCCCCTCTCCTGGCGTGGCTGTGCTCAGCGCACTGTGAGTCGCTCTGGTCACCGCACCTCGCATGGGATATTGTAAAGCTGGAAGAAGAGGAAAGGGACAAGTCGAAGGGTCAAGGGCCGGAGTGGCAGCCCGACGAGGGAGGGAGGGCCGCAGCAGTTTGCGCCCACGGCCGGCAAAGGAGGCCTGCCCGAGGCACCTGGCGCAGGGAGAGTGGAGAGGGAGACATGCCGGAGCCCAAGGGGCCGCTCTGTGAAGCCGACGGAGGGAGATTCAGGACGGATCAAAGAAAGGACGTCTTAACGCAACACACAGTTAGACTGCGGCATTCGGAAGGAGTGAAGGCCAGCAATTTGGGGGCTTTAAAAGGGAATTGGGCAACCCCTGGAGGAGAAGGTCCCCAGCGGTCCAGCGGCTCGGGGCTCCCTCAGGGAGCGGGAGCAGTGTGCCAACGTGCCGCCACTCCCAAGATTTGTGTAAGGCAGGCACCATCGTGGCAGTTCTATTTCCCGTTCCTCACCTAATGGTGCGTGACATGGAACCTGCCTCTGCACCATCGCTGTGCACTGAGCAGCCGTTTCCACTGAGCTCTCCATCCTGCCCCAAAGCTCCCTTTCTGGATCAGTCACTGCTAGCTCAGATCCCATCAGCCTGTAGCTGAAGGAGGGATCCCCCCTTTGCCTTTTCTCTTCTGCCCCAGCCGGTGCTGCTTGACACTCGTTTACGCTTCACTGCATTTGCCACAGTGCAGCCCGTTCTCCCAGCCTGGACTGACCCCTTCGGAGCTTCTCTCAGTCCCTTTCGGTTTTATCCACCTTAAATAGTTTGAGTGGTTACAGCAATATTTTTATTAGAAGATTAGCCATTTCATGATGATACCATTCCAATGGCAGAAAGTGAAGAGCAACTAAAGAGCCTCTTGATGCGGGTGAAGGAGGAGAGCTCAAAAGTTGGCTTGAAACTCAACATTAAGAAAACTAAGATCATGGCATTCTGGTCCTCTCACTTCCTGGCAAATAGATGGGGAAGAAATAGAGGTAGTGACAGATTTTATTTTCCCGGGCTCCAAGATCACTGCAGAAGGGGACTGCAGCCAAGAAATTAAAAGATGCGTTCTCCTGGGGAGGAAAGCCATGGCAATTCTAGACATCAGGCTAAAAAGCAGAGACACCACCCTGCCGACAAAAGTGCGTATAGGCAAGGCTATGGTTTGTAATGTATGGCTGTGAAAGCTGGACCATAAGGAAGGCTGAGCGCCGAAGGATTGAAGCCTTTGAATTGTGGTGCTGGAGGAGACTCCTGTGAGTCCCTCGGACCGCAAGGTGATCAAACCGGTCAGTCCTAGAGATCAACCCTGGCTGCTCTTTAGAAGGCCAGATACTGAAGATGAAACTCAAATACTTTGGCCACCTAATGAGAAGGAAGGACTCCCTGGAGAAGAGCCTGATGCTGGGAACAGTAGATGGCAAAAGAAGGAGGGGACGGCAGAGAATGAGGTGGCTGGAAGGGGTCACTGGGGAGGTGGCTGTGGGCTTGGGTGGACTCCAGGGGATGGTGGAGGACAGGAAGGCCTGGAGGAATGTTGTCCATAGGGTCATGATGGGTTGGGCATGACTTTGCGACTAACAACAACAACCTTTAGGGTGTACTTCTGTGGAATCTCACCATTGCCTGGAGAGGGGCATGGGATTATCCGGTGCTCCAGTGTCAGGTTCCCCACCTGAATGTGCACCGGAATGGGGCGAGGGGGTTGGGCAGCGCCCAAGCAGCCGAGAGCCATGCGCCAGGAGGCCAGGCCGTCTCACAAGGCTGGTCCCCAGGCTGAGCTGCCAGACTAAGGTGCAGCCACCCCCTCCAGTGCAAATGGCCTTGTCAGCAGCAGGCGATGGGAGCAGAGAAACTGCTGAAGGGCAGCAGGAACTGGAGGCAACACAGGCGGAGGGTCTGCTGCCGACCACGGCGGTGGCGCTCGGGCTTTGGTTAGGGTGGCAATCCACTTCCACACACGTCCTGCCTTGAAAGAAAGCCCTGCCACAAAGCAGTCCAGAATGAAAAAAGACCCCCAGCCCAAGATGAGGCCCCCAGGCCGGGAAGCACTAGATTGGTTGCTGGGGAGAGCCAGACCGCTATGAGGGCACTGTGGCTCCCAGCGAAACTAGGCCAAAGCCAAAAGGAAGCTGGGTGGCTGAAATGCCCAGAGGTGACGGGAACGGCCAGGGCTGCGCCACACAGCCACCTGGAACATGCCCGGCGTGAACCGCACCAGGGCGACCCGGAGGCCCGAGAGCAGGAAGTGGGAGGGCGAAACATTGCACACTTCCTGCGAGCAAATGAAAGTGGACTGGAATGGGGCATTTTCAGCCGGACAAATGCAACATGTTTTACTCTGGCAATGACAAACTCAGAAGAAATCGAGCAGCTGTAATACAAAGGGAAGGTGTAGCGCAGGCAGGGAAGAGTTGTCACGCAGAATCCTGAACAAGATCAGTCAGAATTTGTGGAAAACCTGTCGATATAACCTTCAATGAAGTCTATGCTCGAACAACAGATGCCGAAGAAGAAGAAATTGAAAACTTCTGAGCAGGTGTTCAAGAGGAAATTGATAACACTCCCAGATATGCTGAGAATCCTAGCTGAGCAGAATGCGAAAGGAGGAAGCAAAGCAGAATCAGAGGTCGTAGGAACATTTGGCCAGGAGAATGACTCAGAATTTTGTGATGCCAATTATCTGTTTATCACGAATACACACTTCAAGTGCCCAGCCAGATAACAGTATCCATGGACATCACCTGATGGCCAAGGGGGAAATCAAACAGACTATGCAGTTGGTGGGAGGAGATGGAGAAGCTGCACTCTCCCTGCCAAGAGAGGATGTGCAGAGGGCGCCATGTCACCAGCAGGAAGCAGCCGTGAGCCGAGGCAGCTCCTGGGGAAAGTGAATGAGGGAAGTGCAGAAGCGGGGCCGCGGCCGCCCAGAAATGCAGGTGGGTGAACTTATGAGCTCCATCAAGAGGATCTGGACTAATCTAAATGGAGGAAGGCCTGAAAGGAGTGCAGTGGCTGGAGTCCATTACCAACCAACCACCCAACCAACCACCCAATGAAGTAGAAGACCAAGGATAAAACACTGAAAAGCAAACTGCCTGAGTTTTAAGGATATGTGGGGTCAACATTTTGGGGGACAACAATTTCCCAGTAACTGTTGGGAAACAACTTCTGCCAAACACAGCTCCTCCTAGAGATTCCTAGCATGGGTCACGGACAACTTCCTCCAACAGAAAGTGGCGGAAGGAGCCAAAGGAATGGCTGCCCTTGACTTGACGCCGACCGGCAGGCAGTACCTGGTGGACAAAGCTGCAGCTATAGGAACTCCAGGGACTCTTCCGTCAACGCGTCCAAAGCAGCCTCTGCCCTTTTCGCAGCTGCACCACACTGTTGGTTCTCCGCGATCGCACTCAGGTCTTTTTCTGTTTCCGTTCTGTTAAATCACTTATTCCCCAGTTGGCTTCTTTTCCTGAGTGGAGGACTTGGTATTTGTCCCTGTTGAACCTCACTCTGTTGCTTTCAGCCCAGCAAAGAAGTTTATCAAGATCACCCTGGAGCTTCGTTCTGTCTTCTGGGGTGTTTGCTATTCCACCCAGTTTTGTATCATATGCAAATAAGATTATCTTTCCTTGTACTTCCTCATTCAAATAATCAATAAAGATGTTGAAGGGCACTGGGCTCAGGACTGAACCCCGTGGCACCCCATTAGTTACCCTCCTCCAGTTTGAGATGGTGCCATTGATAAGCACCCTTTGTGTCCCATTCAGCAGCCAATTTTGGATTCACCTAATAGTTTTCCCTGTCTAGTCCATTTATTGTTAATTTTCTGATCAGAATGTCATGGGGGCACTATGTCAAATGTTTGCTGAAGTCAAGGTAGATTATGTCCACAGTGTTCCTTCTGTCTGTTTGGGAGGTTACCCAGTCAAAAAATGAGGTAAAATTAGTCTGACAGGATTTATTTTTGATAAATCCATGTTGGCTTCTATTAATCACTGCAATTTTTTTGAGGTGCTTGCAGACTGATTTTTAAAAGTAATTTCTCCAGAATTCTTCCAGGGATCGATGTCAGGCTAACTGGCCCATAGTTCCCAGGTTCATCTTTCTCCCCCTTTGGAAGAAAGAGAGTGCATGAGCCCTTCTCCAGTCGTCCGGCACTTCTCCTGTTTTCCAAGATTTATCCAAGATAATGGTCAGTGGTTTTGATCCGAGGGGCCCTGGGTCCCAGGCTGAAGCTCTAGGCTGCCCAGGACGGCGTGTTATTAACTGCCCGTGTGTCCATGAGGCCACGAGGACATTTGCGCAGCTCCCAAGGGCCGAGGCCTTTCCTGGGGACCATTCCCCCTTCCTCCTCCGCACACTGCCCTCCTTTGCCAAGGGCCCCTTCTCTGTGCCCGCGGAGCAGCTGCCGGTGGGGCTGCGGCCCGGGTGTTGGTCTGCCCCTTGCGCCACCTTGCCTTCCTCAGCTTCCCCAGGCCTGCAGTCGCGGCTTGGAGGCAGCGGGGCCGTTCCCCGAGAACCAGGAGTCCCCGTGGGGACCCCGGGCTCTGTCCAGCGGGCAGAGGGCCATGAATGGGGCCTTCACTGAACCTGCCCCACACCCCGGCTGGCCCTGTAATCAGGGTGCTGCTGGGCTGTTTGTTTAATTGTTATCGGGGATTCTTTACCTGAAAAACTCAGCTTCCCTGTCTGGAAAACAAAACTGTTTACTGGGAGAAGATGGGAGTTTACAGTTCCTCATTATGAGAAAGTGGGGAGACTTCATTGCCAGCCTCCTCGCTCGGCGCTTAATTCGCTGAGTCCTGACGCGTCTGACCGGGGCGCCTCGCTCCAGACGGCCAGCCCCCCACTGCCGCCCCGACCCAGGCCAACCACTGCGGCAGCCGGTCCGGCCGGCTGGAGGCCTCGTCTGGGGCGCTCTGAGCGGGGACGCGGGTCGGCTGAGCCCCGGAGGGCGGAGGTTTTGCGTTTCCATGTGAGGACAGCAGTGATGAACGGCCAGGGCAGGAGGCAACAGGGCCGTGGTGGAGGAGCCACTTGGGGGAACGACAAACCGAGGCAGGCCTTTGCCACGTGTCCTTGTCCGGATCTCTTTCAAAACAAACCGATGGGCTGCACGCTCAACCTCGGAAGGCCCCTCTGGGCGTGCGCTCGGGTGCTGCGCTTCCGGCTGAAGCGCCCTGCGCAGCTGCTCCTCTGGCAGGTGAGGAAGGTGCTGCAGGCTGCGCCCGGACGGCCTCTTCCCGAAGGTGCAGGACCCGCAGCGTATCTCCACCCCGGGCGGGACCAGGTGAGCATGCGCTGGGGCAGAGATTGATGGGAGGGTGGCGGCCCCGTCCCTCGGGGAGGCGGGGACCTTGGCCAGGGCCTCTCCTGGCACCCGGCACTGGCTGTGCCAATAAACACAGCCGCCGTTGCCATGGCAAGCCCCCCCCCCCCGCCAATGGGCTGCGGCTTCCGGCTGGCGCCGTTCTGCCTGGCAAGGAGCCCAGCAGAGGTAGGAGAACCGCAGAGAGGGGCCGGGGAGGCAGGGTCCCCGCTTCCCACCCGGCCAACCCCCTCCCGTCCCCCTGTCTTGCCCCCCTGCCCCGGCCCTTCTGGGTCTGCTCTCGCACAGCCGTGGTTTCCCTTGGACGTGGCTGCCGGGGCCCATGAACACACCTGGCAAAGGGGGCACGGCCGAAGGGCCTCTGGCACGTGGGGGAAGCACTTCTCCTCAGGGCTCCACATCCTTGCGGACTAGCCCGCGCCACGTGCCCCAGGTTCCAGGCCCCACCGTGACCTCACGCGCCCTGTCTGCGTTCCGGCAGAGCCAGCATGGAAGAGGAGCCCTCCGAGGAGCTGCCCGGTGGGGGCTCCTCCCCATCCTTGGAGCAGGAGGACCCGAGGACGTCTTCCACGGCCCTGGAGGTGGAGGAGGAGATCATCGTGCCCAGCTCCACAGTGGACGAGGAGGAGGAGACGGTCCTGCCAAGGTCCACGTCCCTGGACGCGGAAGAGGGCCTCAGGGACTCCTCGCTCCTGCCCTCCTCCGAGTGGGAGACCTCGGAGTCCGCAGGCACGCAGGAGCAGAGCCCAAGCGACGACGGCTCCTCCGCGCCCCTGGGGAGCTCCGAGGCCATCTCCTCGCCTTCGGCCTCCCCGCTCTCCTGGCAGAGGCAGCAGGACAGGCTGCAAGTCCTGGAGGAAGGAGAACCCGGCAGCACGGCCGTCGAGGGGGCCTGCACGGAGCAGAGCAGCACCCCTCCCCAGGGGATCCCGGTGGAGCAGAGGAAGGCGAAGAAGAAGACGGCCACCAGGAAGGGAGCCCTGAGTAGGTCCTGGGGCTGAGGCGGCAGCGAGAGCGCTTTTCCGAGCGGGGCGAGCAGGGGAGCTCGGTGGTGGGGGTCAGGCGCGGGATGGAGGGGGAGCAGCCCACAGCAGCGGGCTGGGCACTGCCCACGTGCCAGGGCTGCCACGAGGGAGCAGCGAGGCCTGTCGGGGCAGAGGAGGAGCAGGTGCCGGGGCGTGTGGGCAGGGGAGTGGGCTGGCCGCCCCAGCAACCGTGCCGCCTGCCCAGGCAAGGCGGATCTGGAGGGTGCTCTTACAGGGTGGCTGCAGGAGGGGGAGCGGGAGGGGTGCCAGGCCGACGGTAGGGATGCCCCGGAGCGGTGGAACCTCTTCCGTGGCACCTGCCGGAGTCTCTGAGACCGCCGGAGGACTCCTCCCGGGCCGGCCTCCGCCAGGGCCGGGCAACGGGATGGAGAGCAGGATCGCTTGGGGTGGGCCCAGGGCTCCTGGGATGCGTGGCTCCCCTGGGAAGAGGTCCAGAGACAAGAGGAGGTAACGTAGCACATTCCTCTGGAGGAAGGAGTGGCCATCCCGGCGGACCAGGGGTGGGGCACTGCGGGGGGCCGCTCCCCTGCTCGGGACACGCCCCTCAGTCTCTCCTCAAGGGCCGAAGGCCACCAAGGGCCATCCAAGCGGAGGCAGAGGCGGACTGGCTGCCATCTTGCCCAGGTTGTGTGTGGATGTATGGCCCATTTTAGGTGTGTGCATGTGTGACCCATGCATGTCTTGCCATATATTTTATTTTTTCTGCATCGCTTACCTGTCCATCACAGCGGCTTTATGACTTTCTCGACCACTTGTGTGGAGAAAGGCCATGGATCTGCACACACACCTGGATCCTGCGGTGACCTTTGACCTGTCAGCTGAAAGGCACAGCTGTGGATGCCAGATGGGGGCAGTCGCCGGGTCGGGGGGGGGGCATGTTTCCCAGAGGAGAAGCACAAAGGAGGACAGTCACCAAAGAGGACTTCCTGCTGAACTGTCAATATTTGCGAATTTCAGCCCTAGGTGCAGCCTGGGAGAATTGAGGTTTTATCTATTTATTTGTCAAGACTATGTAAGCCTTTTAGAAGCTGCCTTTATCTCGGAGGTCTACTGGGGCAGTCTGCAGGAAAGCAGCTCATGAAATGCCGCATCCCAGATCCAGACCGACAAGTAACTCTGCTTGCATCTGCCCGGCCGGGGTGGGAGCTCCGGCTGGGCAAAACAGGCGGGACTCCGCCAGGCCAGCCCTCCCGGCCGTGCAGAGCGGGGGCAGGAGAGGCCTCTCTCGCCTCCTGGCCCTGCGGGGCATCCGGGGTGGCTGCTGAGGGATGCCAGTTGGACAGCCGCTCGGCGCCCACTTGGCCTTTTGCGTTGCGTTGCTTCGCTGAGCCTTGCCTTGCTCGTTTCGTTATTGCTCCACCGTGTTACCGCAGGTTCATATAATCATAGAAGAGTAGAGTTTGAAGGGGCCAAGAAGACCCTCCGGTCCACCTCCCTGCTGTTGCAGGACACCAATCCACCCCACCCCACTCAGGTGGCTGCCCAATTCCGCCTTGAATGTCCCCAGTGTGGGAGAGCCCCCCACCTCTCCAGGCAGCTGGTCCCACTGCCATATTGCTCTGACAGTGAGTGGGGAAGCTTTTCCTGATGTCCAGCCTGAACCGGACTGGTCACAGCTTGATTCCACGTCCTGCTCTCTGGCATCAGCAGGAAGAGAGCTTGACCTCCCTCTCTGTGACAGCCTTTGAGGGACTTACAGGGGTCCCTGCTCTGTCTTCTCCTTGTGAGACTGAACATGCCCAGTTCTCTCCGCCTCTCCTCACAGGGCAGTGTTTCCAAGCCCTGGATCATTTTGGTTGCCTTCCCTGGACCCTTCCTCATTTTTCTGCATCTTTCTTAAATCTTGGTGCCCAGAACTGTTCACCATAATCAGGTGAGATAAAGAGGGCTTCTTTCAGCATGTAAATAGGAAGGGGAAGGGGAGACAAGTGGTGGGACCACTAAATAAGGAGGAAGGGGATCCAGTGACTGATACGAGGGAACAGGCACAGATGCTAAACGACTATTTTGCCTCTGTGTTCTCCCCAAAGCAGGATGGGGGAGATCCGCATAGGAGATTAGATGAGGCTGGGGACTTAGGGGCACAGATTAGAGTCACCCCCCCTTGAAGTTGAGGGGCTCCTCAGGGCATTGGACATTACAAAGGCGCCAGGCCCTGATGGCTTACACCCGAGAGTACTTAGAGAGTTGGCAGGGGTTCTCTCACGCCTACTGGCCTCCATTTTTGAGACCTCGTGGAGAACGGGTGAAGTTCCGGAGGACTGGACGGTGGTGTCAGTGGTCCCAATTTTCAAAATGCGTGGTAGAAGGGGCATGGGGAATTACAGACCTGTTAGCCTTACGTCCATTGTAGGAAAAACAATGGAAAGTCTCATAATAGAGAGAGATCTAGTGATGCTAGACAGGGAAGGGAGGCTGACAGCCACACAACACGGCTTCTGCAAAAACAGGTCCTGCCAGACAAACCTTGTGGATTTCTATGACAAGGTTTTGCGATGGCTAGACGGAGGGGATGCTGTGGATGTGGTTTACCTGGATTTCAGCAAGGCCTCTGACAAAGTGCCCCATGATATCCTGGTGGAGAAACTGAGGAGTTTTGGGATACACCAAAGCACTGTCTGGTGGATTAGGGCATGGTTGACTGACCGAAAGCAGAAGGTAACCATTAACGGAGAATCATCGGGATGGCGGTCAGTGACAAGTGAGGCCCTCCAGGGCTCTGTCCTGGGGCCGATCCTGTTTAATCTTTTCAGCAATGACATGGAAGAAGGGGTGAACAGTCTGCTGATCAAATTCGCAGACGACACTAAAACTGGAGCAGTGGCCACAACTGAGGAGCAGGTACTTCGGATCCAAAAAGATCTGGACAGACTATGGAAGTGGGCAGGAGACAACAGGATGGCGTTCAAGGTGGATAAGTGCAAGGTCTTGCACTTGGGGCATAGGAATGGGTGTCATAAGTACAGGTCAGGGGACAAGTGGCTGGAGAGCAGCACTTGTGAAAGGGACCTCGGGGTGCTGGTTGACTGCAGGCTGAACATGAGCCAGCCGTGTGATGCGGTGGTCAAGAGGGCAAATGCCACCCTTGGTTGCATAGCCAGAAGTGTGGCTTCTAGATTGAGAGGGGTATTACTACCACTCTATATTACTCTGGTGCGCCCGCAACTGGAGTATTGTGCTCAGTTTTGGGCCCCTTGTTACAGAAAGGATATAGCCAGGTTGGAGTCAGTGCAGCGAAGGGCCACAAGGTTGGTGGCCGGTTTGCAGGGGATGCCATATGAGGCGAGACTGAGGGAACTGGGTCTCTTCAGCCTGGAGGAGACGCAGAGGGGATCTCTTGGCAACATACAGGTATGGGAGCGGGTGTCACACGGAGGTGGGTAGAGACCTGTTCTCCCCTGCAGAAGAGGGCAGGACGTGCTCCAAAGGAGCAAAGCTCAGGGAACCCAGGTTCCATTTGGATGCCAGGAAGCACTTCCTGACAGTCAGGACCCCGAGGGTGTGGAATGGGCTTCCCCAGGAGGTGGTTGAGGCCCCATCGGTTGAGGGCCACTCTCGGGGTGGGCCAGAGGGCAGAGCAGCCCAGCCCAAGGCAAAGGGCTGTGCCAAAATGCCGGAAAGCACTGGTGGTTTGGTTGCCCATGACTGATCACAGGGCAGGCGACCTCCAAAGGAGGGGGGATCTGCACAGGAACCAGGAGACCACCCAGTCACCGGAGTTCGGGGAGATGGCGGCAGGAGGAGGGCGAGGGCCGCCTGCTTGGGGCACCTGGCGCCTCTGGGGCTGGAGGTGGCCCCAGGCCTGCGGTTCCACACCCGTCCAGGAAGCCAGAGCAGGGCCCGCCACGCGCCCAGCCCGGCTCCAGAGTGAGGGCTCCTTCGTTCCCAGACTACACAGTGAGGCCCGTCGTGCCGGCGGAGAAGGCAGAGCTCATGTCTGTGGCTAAAGCCATGCACCGGGAGAACTTTGGCAAGAACGTCAAGGACCTCTTCCACCTGGAGAAGGAGGCCGCCCTGCGCTCCATGGAGACAGGTGGGGGCCCGCCCTCGGGGGCCAGGGGGGCTTTGCCCGGCAGGCACCAACCTCTCTGCCCAGCCCAGGACTGAGGCTACCCCCTGTGCTGGCGGGCTGGGGGGGGGAGGCCAGGGGTGGGGGGGGGGCTGGGCCATGGCAGCTCTGGAGCAGGTGGCAGGCAGGGCGAGGTAGCAGGGGAGCCCCTCAGGTGCCGCCCTGGGCCAGGGAGGTCAGCTGGCCCGGCCCGAGCGCTCTGGGGCCTGGGGAGCAGCGAGGCGCTCCTGCCAAAGGGCTCCTCTCCCGCAGGCCTTTACATCGGCTGGCGCTGCCCCGAGTACCTGTGGGACTGCTTCCGAGTGGGCGACGAGTCCAAGTGCTTCTGTGGGCACCTGCTGAAGATGCATCAGGTCTATGTGGGTAAGTGGCAAAGGTGGGACAGAGGGAGAGTGTCCCCAGAGCTGGGGGGACGGGTGGGCAGACAGCCCAGCGGCTGCCGGATGCTCTGGCTGGTGACTGCCACAGTCCCCGCATTCTGGCCATGCTGGATCGGGCTGGGAGAGCTGCAGCCTGAAGCGTCTGCAGAGCGCCAGCTGGCCTGCCCCTCGCCAGAGCCTGTGAGAACCCCCAGGCTGGATCCGCCACTGCGAGGCCTTCCAGCCGCAGCAGTGCGGCCCACGACGCGAGGCCACTTGGGTCCGGAGCCCCTGCCCACGGTGGCCCCCACTGGCCCCTGTGGCTGTCACCCGTGTGGAAGCTGCGCCTCGCACAGGGCCGTGCGCAACCCCTTGGAACGCTACGGAGGAAGTGGGGCTCAGCAAGCCCCTTGCTTTCCGTTTCTGCCATGGGGCCGTCCTCTCATTCCCCACACAACCAGGGAACCGGCACACACCAGGCGCATTAAGGGCAGCCCAAGACGTGGCCGGCAATGACTGCCCGGGTGCAGTGCACGCCGGAGGTGCCCTTGGGGACTGGGCCCCTCGGGGGAGGTGCCTGCTCCGCTGAGTGGATGCGGGCGCCAGACATCGCGGGCCTGCGGTGGCTATGGGGCTCCCCGGCCGCGCACACACATGCCCTGCCGCTCCCGGCCCCATCCTGGCAGTGACCCGGCCTGTCCCGGGAGGGCTCGGCCCGCCGGCGCATAGGCGCATGCCCTGCTGCTTGCTGCACTTCTGGGGCTGAAGGAGGTAATTCAGACGGGTGTTGGTCAAGCACATTAAAGTTGGTTAATGCTGAGCAGGCGCGATGTGTGGCCCAAGCAAAGGGGCTGCTTTCAGCCCTGCATCCCAGTTTGACAAGCTGGCCCTGTGGGGGCCCCGGGAGGGCAGACGTGCGAGCCCCACTGACCCTGCGCTGGGTGGGGAACGTCCCGCTCTGGAGCCTGAGCAAGTGGGGGCTTTGGTTTCTCTTCAGTGCTCAGCACATTCAGCCCCGGGTTCCCCCCACCCCTGAACGCCCCTCAGAGGGGCCCGTGTGGAAAAGCGAAGCTGCTCGGCCCACACGAGCTGCCTGCTGGGAAGAGATGCGCTCTGCGTGCGGTGTGTGGGAAGAGGGTGCGCGTCCTTTCCATGTCCTCCACCTGCAGCACTGCCCCCCCCCATTTGATTGCCGGTGCTCATCGCAGGATCCAGGACAGAGGAAACTGCCACGTCGCGGGGCGGGCAGGGGGGTTCCTGCCGTTGCAGTTCCAAATCCGCAGGAAGAATGCGCAGGATGAGCCTCAGGATGGTGATGGGGGCTAGAGAGCCCCCCCCCCCACTCCCCGGTGGCTCTCAGGACCCATCTTGCCAGATGCTGAGGACGGGGAGGGCAGAGGATAGGCGACACCTTCCCCCAGCAACGCAGAAAGGCTCCCGGGGTGTTTCTTCAGGCGAGACAGGAAGGACCGGGGCACGGCGGGGCGCCCTCGCCCGCGGCAAGCGCCGGATGCCGCCTGCAAGAGCGAGGAAAGGTCCCGGCGCGGGAAGGGCGGGAAAGCGGCAGGCGAGCCCCGTGTCTGGCGCTGCGCAACTGTGGGGCACATGCCCAGCACAGCCCCGCTTTCCGAGTGCGCCAGCTGGCAGGAGCCCGTCCTCGCCAGAGGGAGAAGCACGCCCCTCCGCTCCCGGTTTTCCGGGAGGGGGCTGCCCCCGCACGGCCCCCCCGCACGCGCCCGCGCCCGCGCAGGCAGAAGGGCCGCCGCGGCTGCCCTCGAGGAGCGCGCGCCCCCGCCGCGCCGCTCCCCTGACCGGGCGCGCTCCGTTGCAGAGCGGCGGGCGACGGTGCCCTGCGCGACCCCCGAGTGCCGCTGCCAGGGCTTCACGTTCATCCCCTCGCGCCCGGAGGAGGTGGGCGAGTTCTGGCTGCGCAGGAGGACGGGCTTCGATCCGGCGGCCTGGCGGGCGAGGTGCCGCTGCAAGCACACGCACGAGGAGCACTCGCCGGCCGGTGCGCGGGCCTGCGGGGCCCGAGGTGAGCGGGCGGGGCGGCGGGAGGACCCCGGGGGCTCTCCCCATCGCTGCCCGCGATCGGCCCTGCCTTCCCAGCCCCAGGGGGCCCCTCGGCATGTCCGGAAGCAGCCCGAGCGCTCGCCTGCGCGCCACACCCCAGGCAGCACGCACGGAGGGTCCTTCTGCACCTGCCCCGCTGCGCAGAGACGCGTCTGGGCTCCGTCCCACCCCTGCCGGGGTGTCCCCGGGCCCATGGGGGGCCGCCCCCAGTACCGCCACGTACCCACGGGCGTTGCTGCCCAGCAATGCCAGGAGGGTCACGGGATCCCGAGTCCCGGGTCTCCTCCAGGGCCAGTGAAGCAGCACGGCTGGGGAGGGCGGGGGATCCGACCGGAGGTCCCCTCCTGCCCTCCAGCGCTGCCCCAGACACCCAGGGAGGCGAGGGGGCAGAGGGGGGCGCCCTTGGGACGGACGGGGCCAGCGAACACGGGTGTCTGCGGCCCGACTGCAACACCCACAAGCCCAGCTCGCTGGGCTGCCTCACTTCTCCTTCGGAGCCCCGGCAAGGGCGGCTGGCCAGAGGCTGCTGGCTGGGTGGCGGGGCAGCCGGGGGCCCTGCCCCACGGGTCACCGGTTGAGGCAGCCTCCGTGGGACCGATGTGCTCGCCTTCCAGGGTGCTCCTGTGCGGCGTTCACGTCCGGCTTCCTGTGCGCAGCTTGCGACCGGCGCTGGGAGGAGCACGAGACCTTCTTCGAGTCGGAGGAGACACGCCGCAAAGGCGGCCGGCCGTACGGTATGGGGCGGGGAGTCGGTGGGCCCCTGCAAGCCCCGGCTGAGGCAGGCGGTGCACTGGGGTCGCGCAGCGCTTCCACCCCACGCCAGGGCAGGACCGCCTGCCGGGACCCGGTGGAGAGCGCGGCCGCCCCGTGGCGAGCCAAAGCCCTCCCCGCACCCCCGGCCTCGCTGGCCGGAGCACTGCAGCCCCACCACTGCGCCCCCGGCCCCGCAACCGCGTCTCGGCAAGCCCCCGCTTCGCTCAAGGCAAGCATCCGGCCCGGCCCGGCCCACCACAATCTGTCCCAGATGGCACTTTCCAGGTGGGGGGGGGGTTCAGGCAGAGGGCCCTGCCCCCCTGTACCCCAAAGGAGGCCACCTTCTTAGGCACGTGCCACTGAGACAAGCTGCCACCCCACACTCCCAGCTGCTGGGCCTGCCGGGAAACAGGACACAGGTTTGCGGGGTGGGGGGGTGCCATCAAAGGAACATTTACAGTTTAGTCAGACATACAGGAAACACATGCGGCATGTGTCCCCCCCGCCCCCACCCACAAACACTGCAGAGATGTAACTGCTGTACAGACTAACAGTTCCAGAGAGTGGGGGGCGGGGGGACCGCGTAGGCAGCTTGCTGGTGGCGCATGGCAGCAAAGCCGAGGGCTGCATGGATGAAGCCAGAGGGTGCAAAAGCGAGAGCCAGGCAGGGCAGGCACAGCCCACCCCACCGTGCCCAGCGCGGGCCTGGGAGCAGGACGGGCCAGATCAGCAGCCCCCACGAGGCTGCAGCTGCTCTTGCAGGGACAGGCTCCTGGGCGGCCGAGGGGGAGTCCCGCAGCCCGGGCACAGGTGGGCGCGCTCTCCCAGCAGTGCGCTCGGGCCTGGCAGGCCGCCCGGCTTCTGCACCAACTTGCCCCACCACAACCATGCAGGACCCTCTGCCACCCTCCGGCTGAAGTGGTGCTGCAGGAGTGAAGAAACCTGGGGGCAGGGAGCTAGAAGCGACTCTTCAGCAAGCCCCATTCCGTCGCGGTGCGCAAAGCGCCCCTCCAGCCTCAGGATTCCTTCATCCAGAGGCGGAGGCTTTTGCACCGGATTCCAGCTGGTGGCCGATGAAAAACAAAGGACTCCACCAGGATTACATCACACGCACCCTCGAGCTGAGCCAGCTGTGCCGGTGCTCTTGGATGGAGGCCTCAGGGACTGCAGCACTTCTGGGCACACTGGCCACCGGTCCTGTTCCGGCCGTAGTCCGAGAAGCACACAAAAACGGGGACCCAGCTGCCCCCCCCCCCGGCCCCCCCAGTGTGCCTCTGCCCCATGGCCTCCTTTGGCCCAAGGCGTCCCACTCACGGCAGCCGAGATTCGATGAGTGCGCGGCAGAGTTGTGTGAAAGGCCCTCCCAAGAGCAGGGGGCGCTCGGGACAGCAGTGGCCAGCGCAAGGGCCGCGTCCCGTGCTCAGCGCCCCCGCCGCCAGCGTGAGCGGCTCGCTGGGCGGCCCTCGAACACACGCCTCCCCCCTCCGTGCCCGTGCCCAGCCGCCTCCCCACTGTGTCCCACACCGGCCTCTCTCCCCCCAGGAGCAGCTTATCTGCCCTTCGCCGAGATGCCGGGCCTGCGCAACGCCGTGCTCACGGGGCACGCCGAGGACGCCTCCGCCCACCAGGCCCTGCCTGCCGCCTCCGCCTCACGTGCTCTGCCTCTTCCCCCCTCAGGGCCGCGGAGGCCGGCGCAGAAGGACGACAAGAAGGCCTGAGCGCGTGCGCCGAGTCGGGAGTGGCCTGCGGTGCAGGCCGAAGGCAATAAAGGCCGGTGGCTGTGGGCACGCCTCGTGTGTGCGTGCGGGGCTGGGGGCGCCTCTGCAGCGAGCTGGGGAGGGACGGTTCGGTGGTGGGGGTTAGGACCCCCTCTGCAGAGAAGCCAGACTTACAACAGCGCTTCTGGGGAGAGGCCAGGCCGACTGCAAGCTTCCAGAACATGTACAGAGGGTCTTACAGGTTCTGAGTCACATGGGCTCAGCAGCTGGGCAGCTGATGGCGAAATAAGGGGAACGCAGGAAGGGGAGAGCTCTGCAGAGGGGGCTCGGTGCAATGCAGTGATGACAGGAGAGGGACACAACAGTCGGAAGCCGCCGCCAGCCTCCCCTGCCGGGTCGGGCTTGCAGAGCAGGGTGATCGCAGCGCTGTTCATCTGGCAGCTGTATCAGCTCTTCCTGGTCGGCAGAAGCGTAGCCCTGGCGGCTCCACAGAGTGGTGCTTCTCTTCCCGCTGCTTCAAGTTACAGCGAGTGCTGAACCCGGCCTGCGATTCGGGTGCTTTCTGAGAAAGGGGTGCAGCTACTTTGAGAACACAAGGGCACATATGAGCCACCTCTTCTGCCAGGATTTCTCTGAATTCTCCCAGCGAAGGTGGCAGTGCCCACAGGGACCCCTTTTGGAGGTGGTTTCTGAGCGTGGTGGCCGGGAGGCAAGCCCACCAAACGCTCTGCGGTGCAGCCAGGGCCGCAAGGGGGCTGCCCAAGGCCGTAGTCCTCTCTTTCTGGAGCACAGAAGGGGAACCAGTGGCCAGTGCTTTGCTGGGTCTGAAGGCAGAGAGAGTAACACCCCGCACCCAGCCTCCGCCTCCTGCACAGCCGTGGCCAGGAGAAGTGTCCACGGCTGCCTGTGAGTGCCAAACCACGGGCGCCTGGCAGAGGCCTGCGGCCGAGCACCCCCGTGCTGTGGCCCCCCTGAAATCACGCCCTGCCAGGTCTAACCCCAGCGTGGGGGTCCCCCGGGAGGTCTAGCAAGGTGTGACAACCGCTTTAAGGAGCCGTTGTTGTGCGGCGCGGCGCCACCAATTCTCCACTACCGTAACGGGGACCCGTGAGCCGGGGCGCGAGTGACCCACCCGGGAGGCTTTGCGGAGAGCAGGGGGCAGAGAAGGAAGGCGGGTGGGCGGGTGGCAGGGCCTCCGTGGCACTGCAAGCCTGCAGAGGGCAGGCGTGGCTGTGGGGTGCGGCATGGGCCCTCCCGGCACGCCAGGCGGTCGCCCACAAGGGGGGACTCGGGCGAGCAAAAGGGAAGGCCGTGAGCCATGCGGGTGCCTTCCGCGAGGCGGACGGAGGGCTCCCGCTGGGGACACCTTCGAAAGAGGGCAGGCAGCGGCACCGGGCCACGCGCGGGCTTCCCGTGGGCGCGGCGCGCTTTGCGCTCGCCGTCCCCGCCGGGCGGGGGCGCGCGTCACCCGGGCCCTGCCTCGCCGAGGCGGCAAAATGCCCGGAGCCGGCACGGCGCGCGACGCGAGCGGCGGCGCCAAGACGCCCCGCGCGCCGCTGCAGCCACGCTGCCTGCCCGGCG